GGCAATTAAATCAGCTCCAGCCCCCTTTACATAGTGCAACAACATATTGTGAAATCCAACACCAACATATTCATAAAACTTCCTGAAGGAATAGGAACAATCCTGTTTGACTTTATATCTAGCTTGATTCTCTTATATAAATATTTATTACTATGATCCTGTCCTTATGGGTACCTGGAGGACTAGTGGTTAGGCCTTGGCGATCTCACTGCCGTGGCCCGGGTTCGATTCCCGGCCAGGGAACCACACGACAGTGCACTCCTAGTGCCTGTCCCAAGCCCAGATAAAATTGGGTGTGTCAGAAAGGGCATCCAGCATAAAAACTTTGCCAAATCAAATATGCGGACCAATGACCCGCTGTGGTGACCCTTAACGGGAGCAGCCGAAAGAACAACAACTATAATACTGTACTGCAAGGAAAAAATAGGAAATATTTGTGAGGTACTAAGTGACTGTGGTGCCACTTTGTTGGCTGGGGTTGTATATTCATTATTATTATTCATGAAAAGTTAGCAGCTCTTGTCCATCACAGGGTGACACTGGTCCTCATTTATCAATTTAGTAAAGTTGTGTGTAAATATTTGCACATTTGGTAAGTCAAACCAAAAAATTTCTGGCAGATTTACAAAAGTTTTGGAAACAGTGACTTTCTTTGTACTTGTGTACGTATGTTGAATGACAATACCCTGTAAATTACTGGGCATGTGCACGGCACAGCTGATTTGCATTTGGTGAACCCACAAAACTTCATTAAAGGCAAAGTTCATTGCGCTGAAATAACGAGTAGATGGCAAAAAAAGACTTTCTCAGAGGTAGAAGTGAAAGTTATTTAGACTTGTATCTATGCCAATAAAATATACAGTCATGGGAAAAAGAAAGTACACCTTCAATTCTATGTTTTTATTTATCCAGGGCTAAATAACAATTAAGTGATCCTCACCAATTTCTATAAACAAACAAATAACCTCAGGTGACAACAAAAAAACACAACAGATTTCAATATGTAGTCATTTTTCCCAAAAAGTAAACCAACATTCAGAAACTAGGTGAGAAAAAATAAGTACACCCTTCCTACTTCCACAAGAAGAAGTAAGAGAATAATTAGCAGCAAGGTGTTACTAATCATCAAGAACTGAACTAATCGTTCAGTAAATCATCAAGAACTGTGACTACCTGTATAAAAGCAGACCTTTTGGCAGTTTGCTGTTCTGTAGCACTCAGGCGTGTGTGTGTACATCATGCCAAGAAGAAAGGACATCAGCCACGACCTCAGAGAAGCAACTGTTGCTGCTCATCAATCTGGGAAGGGTTATAAAGCCATCTCCAAACAATTCTAAATTCGCCATTCTACAGTGAGAAGGATTGACTGTGTATGTAACAGTGTAACAGCCTATGAAAAGGATAAAATTGGTGAAAAAAGGTGAAAAAAAAATGGTGTGACATGAAAATGGAGGAGAAAAAATTATCTACACCGTACCCAGAAGATCATGGACACCAGGAAGGTCACACAGGGAAACTGTTATTTTTAAATTGCTCTTTTTAAAATCCATTTTAATGTAAACTGTTACTTTCTAATCTAAAGTGTTGCACAGCATTAAAAGAAGATGCCAGTCTTTAAATATCCATTCTCCCATAAGCACAGTGAGCACCAAATCTTCTGTCAGCAGAGGCATTTTTTGTCATAATTGAATTACTTTTATTTGGCTTAATGCATGGGTTTGTGTTTCTTTATTCTTCATATTCTTTAATTAATTCCAATAATATAAAATGACTGGGTTTCATAAACTTTTTTCGATGGTACTCTTAGTCCCTGACCTAGTGAACAAGCATAAGGATGTGTTTTTCACAGAAACTCCAGAGCACTTCTATAAGTCACTCTGGATAAGGGTGTCTGCTAAATGCTGTAAATGTAATAAAAAAAATAAGCCATGACAGAATATTCCAAAAAGAAAGTACAGTAATCCTTGCAAATCATATGATTTGAAGATAATCAAGTTGAGGTTTACATTAGTTAGTCTTCTTATGTGTAAATTTATACACTTAGGAGCATGAGTAAGAATGTTTTTCTGAAATTATTGGATTTTCATGAATACCAAATGTCTTGTGTAAACACTTGTAGGAATGATTTACAAATAAATCTATTTGTATCCAGCTTGATAAATCATGCCCATTGCTATCAAAGTTACAATGACTTTTAATAGGAGAAATCTCAATCTCAAACATAAGGGATAACAGTCAGGTTTCATTGTTAGCTTCTAAAAACAAAAGAGCAAGAGCTTCTTTTCTCATTCGCCATTGTCCAGCATTCAGTGTCATATTAATCCAAATAATCCAACGCAAAAATTATTGGAGTCAACATTACAGAATACAATGCAGGTATATAATGAGAGAATAGGCTTGGCTAGTTAGCTATCTATGAGATAAAACGTGTGGTGTTATTGACAGTGGTATTAATCATGAAAATTGATGCTTTGGAGCCCTAACTATTTGAGGAGAGTATACCAAGTAGAGGTGAAGCAAGGTCTAAATCCCACTGGTGGCATTCTCAGTGGGTAGTCAAACAGCATTGTGATGTAGGAAACCATTAACCAAAGTGAAAATAGACCAACACAGATGAACAAAGATCACATATTAATTATACAGAGTAATATGCAAGGCATTCAGGGTGTATTTTTCCTTTAAGATTGAATAACAAATGAATAACACAGTAGTGTATTTAAATGTAGGCCTACTTGAGTTTGTAGTAACAGTATATGAGAGATCACATCAAAAAGGTAGAATATTCCTTTAACCTGTGCAAACCTATACTAATAATGCCAAACCTGGAAACAGTCATGGTCTTCTATATACTCTACCGATGTCCTGACACACTATGTGCTACAGTTTCTCAAAAATACTTTGTATTTTTGTATTCAATTTTTGTTTTTAAGTCTAGTGTTATTAAATATACACTCGATGAACACTTTATTAGGAAGCCCTACTCATTCATGCAATAAACACCATGTGTTTAGGTGGGGTTACGTGTCATATAAGACAGTGGTTTTGGTTGAGGAGAGCACTGCTGTTCCTTTTTCTGTTCTATGATCCTGTCTAACACCTTAAAGTTTGGTTTCAAAATATGCAGGAAGTGCAGAAGGTTTCAAGGTTTCAAGGTTTCAAGGTTCTTTATTTGTCAATGCCACCATATGTGCATACATACAGAGGAATCGAAATACCGTTTCTCTTCTCTCTTATCAAGTGTTTACGGTCAATGCAGTCAGTGCAATATAGAACAGATTTTGTATGAGGGTAATAGCAGTGTACTTGATAATAAATAGATATAAATAAACAGAGTGAAAAATAAATTGTAAACATCTGAATGAATACACGTCTAAGTAAATGTAAACAGTGTATTCTGTAAAATATACAAATACAGAAGGCAGGGGAGTCATTTTTGGATAAATAGGCATGGCTATAGTAGCATGCACATGCTCATGAAAATTAACATTTGGCTAGGGTGCATCCTCATTCCAACAATAGTTGATGTAATTTCACACAGGATGGTTTATCTGTATTATGAGCCCACAACTTTAATGCTGCAAAGGATGCACCAGCTGGGTCTTTGTTTGCTCATTATTTCTGCACAATCAAAAGCAGGAGTTTATAGGCATGTCATTAAAGTATGACAGCAAGAGTGCTCTCTAGGACCTTTTACTAACTTTGGTGGTTTAGGTTCCTATGGAGGTTTTCAAGCTGGTTTGGGCAAGTGGGCTGGTTGATGCACTAGTGGAAGCAATGGATATATACTATCTTTGCTTTTATTAAGTTAAGGTGACTTAGCGTGTGAAAAGACTTTTGAGAAATCGCCACTAAGGGACATTTCCCCTTGCTTTACTAGACTTTCCTCCCATTGCAATTTACGACTGTCAGTTCACGTGAAGTTCACAGTTCAGGTTAAAGTCACAGTAGTTCATGGTAGTCACAGCAATTCACAGTTCATCACAGAATTGTCACACAATCACACATAGGCCTTTATTTAAATAGTAAACCTCTCTCCATCTGCTTTGGGTCACCCGGATCCCCCACCACTCTCTCTGGGAATGGCAGTGGTCCCTTAATTCAAACCAGACACCTCTTGGGTCACCTCTTTTTGGCTTGAACACCTTTACGCCACCATCGTATCACCACTTGTACGGAATGGCAACATTCCTTTTCTTTATGAGCTCTCGGCTGGATCCAATCAGTTTACCCTCTAAACTGATTTCAGGGATCCCATCAGACGACAGTGAGTATAAATCAAATTTTCAAAAATAAATTAATTACCATGTCTTTTTGGGATCCCAAAACCTTCTGACCAGGATTGTTGGAGAATTTTCCCTATTCATCAAATAAAACCGGCAGACAATCTCACAAATCAAAAGGAGAGAAGTTTATTCTACCTCTGCAGAGGGAGCACACTTCAGCAATACAGCAGCAGTGAGTTAACAGTTCAGCTATAAAACAAGTGTGATCCCATGCTCAGTGGAGCTGTACCTCCTTTGTAGTGAGGTGGAAACAATAATGCAATTTCTCATAGGTTACTAAATAATGAATATCCATAATTGTATAGATAGGGCTTATACAAGTTTCCACAGCTTCTTATTAGGTAATAGCAGCTTCAGCAGTTGGTTCCCTAAAACCTTATGCATATAATATTGATAAGATTTATGACAGAATTATTATAAGTAAGACAGTGATTACAGAAACAACTTATAAGAGTAAAAATTCCCCAACACACTAGTGGGTTGAGGTGGCTTCCTCTGTCACCCAGTGTGCTTAGACAGGAAGCACCATGTCTTTGCGTTGAAACAGATGAATAATTGTTCAGATAGACAGGCCACCCTCAATTCTAGCAGGTTGATGTGTTCTGACCTCAAGTTGAGGGTCCATATGACCCCTGTGACACAACACCGCTCCCAATCCCTCATAGGAAACTGCTCCAGGCACACAGTGTTTAGTTGTACATTCAGCTGTTGTTTTTTTCCCCGTTTGCTTTGAAACCATACCCATATATATTAGGCATGTGTGTACTTTTAGCATAAACCAAGTCATTCATTTACAGAGTCACTTATCAGACTTTAGATTAGCTTTAGCATCATAGGTAGTCAACAGCCATCAAAAAGTCTCTGGTCCTGCTTTTGCCTGTGAGAGCTTGTTGTAACTATAATCCTCTTTTACAGACTCCAGGGCTGTATGATCTGACAGAAAACCATACAGTATATATT